TAAAGCTCCTTATAGTATCTAGGAGGCTATTGAATTTAAATTCCATTTTTAAATATTTATTCTTTATTTTTAGTTGTCTTTATTTATTTTGTTTATTTTTATATTTCTTCTTTTCTTTTATTTTATTTTTCTTTAAATAAAAGATCTTCCACTCAACTTTCATCACTTTAAAATTTGCTACAGCTTGATAGTTTTTAGTAAATTTTATTACAGTAGGACCAAAATGTTCTGATAAACTTTGATTATCTATCCCATATAGGATTTTTGAGAATCTGTGATTTGCCTATTACTACTTATCTAAAGTAAACAATCTTGACTTATTACGAGGATTTCTGTCTATCTGTACTGGCTCTCAAAAAGTTTTAAGTAACTGTTAGTATCACAGTGTTTAACTAAGTAATGCTATTAGCAGTTCTATCTACGCATATGTGTCTTTTGTCAAACTTGGCTAATTTTGGCAATTATAGAATTTCCTTGCTAAGAGTTAATATCAGTTAATATCGTCAGATAATTGGCAAAATAAAATGAATTCAATAATAATATTCAACTCATCTGGATGAGAAACTTAGATGATTTCAGCAATTATAAAATTAAGATCGTGATAATTGTTAGAAGAATTTAGGTGCCTATGTATAGGTTTATACTGGCTTGAAGAAATATGTCTAAGAAGGCTTTTGAGCTTTTATTGACTCTTTGACAAGTGAGTAGAACCAGTTACTGGCCTTTTGGCAAGTATTAGTGCTGTTATTGGTTTTTTGGAAGTGTCTAGTCAGTGCTTGGAATTTCGCATAATAAACAATATAATATTGACTATTATATTTCAATGTTTACTAATTTTTTTTGTTTTTAGTTACAGTAATATATATGCATATATATTGTAATTAAATAAATATAATAAAATGTTTTTGTTAAGTATCGTACTTTTTGAATGTATAGATTAAAAAGATATAAGTTGAATCATTGATTCACGTAAAATAATGTGTATTATGTGATTATAACTATTAAATATTATTTAAAAAGTCAATAGATTGTACGGCAAAAGATAATTAAAAAAGAAAAAGTTTAGATTCAACCCATCGTTTAATTGAAGATAAAATGTTTAATATAACTAAAATATTTTTAAAAGTCTATAATTTATAAATTGCTTCACTTTGTTCACAAACAAGTTAAATTGGCAAAATTATAATAAAAAAGCACTTTTTTTGTAACATAAGGAGTTCCTTTTTTTTCGGATTAATTTCTAATCATGAGAATCAGCAAATCTTGAACAGTATCATAAAATCAAATCTTTTAAAATTCTGGTTTATACAATCTACAACTCTCAAAAATAATCATAAGAAATACGTTAGACTCTTTTGATCTAATAAATCCCTCATCAATTACAATTAACTAATTATTTCGCTATATTCATACTGTATGTAAACCATAGGGATGATAATAATAGAGTAAAATTAATCCAAATACTATCATTAGTGCTCAGATCCAAATAACCTTTTTCATTTATTAAAATTGTCTTTCAAATTCATTCGTTAATCGTCAATTAGAAAACTTATTTAGATCTACCAACTAAAAATGAAATATTTTAGCCAAATTTATTGAAGCAATATTTTGATGTTTATTAAAATATAACAGTCCATAAAAATTTATAAATGAAGCTATCTTATCTAAAAATTAATTCTAAAAGAAATTTATAGAAATTAGCAATCAACATAAATGCATCCATATGGTACCAATGTAACATATTCTTTCATTTTATTTTTAAAATCATTATTCAGGTACGAATATCTGCTTACAGCCACGTAATTCAAAGTTCTTTTTCGTATGCTGAATTCAATTAGCGCCTTAGCTTTTTTTCTCGTTATCAAGGCGATAAATTAGCAACTTTTTTAAAGGAGCATAGCAATTACTAAGCAATATATCAATATATGAATTTAAAAAACAATCTCTTAAGTCAAGGTATTGCAATCTTAAGCAACATTTCTGCAAACAGCATAACTTGTTCTTCTGCTACGTCATCAATATACCATAAATACCTTAATGTAAGAAATTCAAGTTTTTGTAAACTACCAATAAGATCTAGGAGTTGTGTGGAAAACTCAATATACGAAATATTGAGATATGTAATGTTTGGGCAGAAGGACTTAAGTGCTAGTAACGATGAACGTTTTAGAACCATTTCATTATCTGATCCAAGTTTTAGTCGTTGTAGAAATGTGCCAAACTTTTCAAAGATTAATGCCATCTTCGACGTATTGATTGGAGAATCAACTATCTCTAAAGTGCTGTTTTTATAACTTGATAATGCCAACATTTCTGCATATTTGCAATTCCTGATACGAAGAATTTCTAAATTTTCACATTTCATTAGCACCTTGAATTCTGCATTACAAATACAACCTTGTACTATAACTTCCTTTAATGATTTTTTTTGACTCTCTAAAGCCAAAATGATGCCGTGAAATTTTGCAGGAAATTCAATTGAATTGTCACCGATTAGGCTGAATCGTCTAAGTTGCTCTTGTGAATTAATAATGCATATAAGTGAATGAAATACTTGTGGCTCATAATAAGAATAAAATTCGTCAAGTTTCAAAGTATTAATTTTCGTAGTAGTTTTTGCCAAGACTTTTAATAATGCAGTTGCATTGTCGGCGCACAGTTCTGATATTACACTCAAAGTCAAAGCTTTGAGTCGTGATAAAAATTGCTCATTTCGTTCTAATGAGTGAAACACTTCTGGCTTAATTTCAATATATTCTGAAAAATATAACTCTAATTTGTGTAATGTAGCGCCACTCTCAATAAATATTTTCAATAATATATTAATTATGTGATATATCGATGCGCCGTAATCCGGTGAATTCATATAAGGACGATGGAAATCGATCCAATTTTTAACATTACTTTCCAGATTGTATAAATCGAGAACCTTTAGAAATCTGCATAATCAAATAGTGTTTTGGAAATTTCGGCATTTCTCATATATTTTAAAATGAATTTTTCGTCCTCACCAAAGGGCGAAAAATATTTAGAAATGAATAATGAACTTTTATTTAATGAAAATGGATCTTGCCAAAGAATAGGAATCGATATTTTGCACCAATGTCGGCTAACAAGTGCGCATGAGTATAAGCAATAAAATTCATTCTTTAGATTATCAAGAATATTTTCCATCAATTCGAGCATATCACCCATGAATATTTTTGATGCCATGAGTTTCGTGTTAACATTAATGAACGATTTTAGAAATTGTTATTGTAAACAAGATCTTATAAATAGAGTATTGGTTATTGCACTTACATATTCTGCATGGTCAATCAGTGTCGTTAATATCAAGATCAGTTACGTACGTATGTACGTAATCAGAATTCTGACGGATTTATAATCAACCAAGTAGGTATGTAGAGGGCAAGGAATTATTACGTAAAAAATTAAATCGCACTGATGCGATAATTTACGAATAATATATACTTACGTACAACTAATACCATGATAAATATCGCATATGTGATTTAACTTTTCATGTAATAATTACTTTGCCCATCTCTGGTAGAGAGTAAAAAAAAAAAGTGGTACCTTATGTCAAGAAAATCTTGGGCTGAAGATCACTTCCGACCATATCCGGATCCAAACGCGAAAAACATAAGAAATTGTAAAAAAAAAAACGTAAATAACACAAAAATTTACTATGATAACTAACTTCTGACCTCTAAGTGAAAGTTTTCAGAATGAAATTTTACTCATAGAACATGATTGTTAATGTTAGATATATCGTGAATTTTTGAGATACTACCCCATATTTTTTTGGTCGGCAGCTCGGGATTTTCTTGACATAAGGATACCCGTGGCAGCCTCATCTAGGTTCGGGGTATCAGTTCTCATCCTGGCTCTATCATTGCGACTTACTTTATTTTCATTTTATTGAGAATATTTTCTTTTGTTTATGACAAGGAATTATTTCTCATTCTTCATTGTTATTATATCAGGTGAAAAATGAACGTGCAAACATAAGTTTGCAAGAATACTGGGAAGTGATCATATGTAACCATTAAAAGGTGTATTTTCATTTTGCATATTGTTATTATGTACTATTATACAAATATCTACTAACTTATTTAAAATAGATGACAGCAGAGCGGTCACATCTCATTGGAAGTATGAGTTTATACGGGGAAGTTGCAAAACACAACTCTAATAAACAATATTTGTGCAATTTTTCCAGACAAGATTAAGCGATAACGCATCAATAAACTTAGATTTTCATTTGGTTCGATTGAGGTTAGAGACGAAAAATTTTCAATTATTTCTGCCAATGTTAACCCGATTATTTTTTTTTAGAGTGCAGATTATAGTATGGAACTTGGAAGTTACAAAGAAGGGACAGAGATAGATCCGGATCTATCATTCGTGGAAACCGAAGAAGACCCAACAATACCAGTATCTGAGCACCGCTTTAACGAAACTATTTGGAAACAATGGAGGCTTAGTTCTGGAAATTTTATTACTGATATTTTGGCAAAATCCGCGAAAAAAAAGGACATCCTCTTAGGTTACCATCGATAATTGTTAATTATTGTCATGGCTGATGTTGACGTTCACGTGATGATCGGCCAATAATAAGTCGTGATTAGAAAATTCAAAACAAACGTCAATTTTGAAACCACCAAAAATTTGCATAGAAGCAACCTTCCATGAATTAGTAAAAAGTTTTCCTTGGTGCTTTTAACCTTAATCTAACCTTTAACATTAATTTAAATGCTAACCTTAACATAAATAGCATAGAAGAAACTCGTATTTTCATGGAAAATCACGGGTTATAACATTCATATGATTGGCTAATTTATGTAGATCCAAGCATGATTATTGACCAATCAATTAATTAAAAAATCTTTTGATACGCGAAATAAAAACAAAATAAATTTATTAATGAAAGTGAATTTTTTTCAATACTAAAGTCATTCTATTTTATTTTTTAACTACTATATTTCATTAAAAACATGTTGTTATATCTGACATGTTACTATTCTTGGTTTAAACTACTGTGATTAGGTCACACCATTATATATACTATATTAGAGATCTTAGTTTTCTTTTCTATTTAATAAATAATACATATATATATCTTGATTTGGGTAAAATAGATCTTGTTAAAAGTTTGAAATTACTTGACCTGTTTAATAAATATATAAAATTTTATATTAATAACATCATGGTTTAGCAATTTGTAAATTTAATATACATTTGCTTAATAATTTAAACATAGTAGAAACTCAATAAACTCTATTAATACTAAACATTCTATCTTTATTCTTATGAAAACTTTTTGAGAAAAGCGATTGAAAATGATTGAAAAAGATTTTCTGTTAAAAACATACTTAGCAAATAAATTTTATTAATTAATTAAAGTATATTTAGTATGAAACTTGTAATTAAACAGATTATGAAAATTTCAGTTTTTAAACTACTATTGTATATCAATTTTTCAATTGCTTATATAAATAATTTGTATAACTGTGATTTTAAAATCTATTGGATACAAGTTTCTTCTATGCTAACATAAATAAACTCTGTATATATAACTCAAATTTTTTATTATATATTATATGAACATTAGTATCAACATTAATCATAATAATTATTAATATATTCTGATACTAATAAATTTGTTTTAGATCTGAAGTTTGGAAAATCATTTGTTATAGTTTTAAAATTGCAAAACAGAAATAATATATTGTTGACAAGTATGCAAAAATCCAAAATATTTACAAAATAAGTAACTGTTTTCAAATGTTTAGAGTTTATAAACAAAATTTTGAAATTTGTATATTTTTCTGTTTATATTGATTCTTTATTTTATATTCTTAAAGAGTTTTAAAATTATATTTTTTAATAGAAATTATATTAATTATTAGAAAAAATCATAGAAGAAAAGTTTTTATATAATTTTAATAAAATTATTAAAGATAACAGTTAAAAGCATATTTTAAAAAGATTTAAAATAATTAATATAATGTTTTTTTTACAAGATCTTTTTAAAATTTTTTTTAGAATCTTTTTTGCATAAAATTAGTATAATATTTTTTCTAATAATTTATTAATTCAATAACCAATTATATATTTTTTTTTTTTTTTTTTTTGAACTTTGGCGACAATGCCAGTTGGTTTTTTTTTTTTTTTTTGGTATTAAGATGAGGCCTTGCTCGTATCTTTATTGGTAGTTTAAAAATTAGTAGCTACGTGGAGCTGCTATGTACAAAAAGTAATTT